ACAGCACTGAAAAAAAGTGACCCAGAACTGGTCTTTGCACTTACAACTGTACCCCATGGTCCCGTGATAAAAATTTGGGAACTTTGCAACCAGGATGTATTTACTACAGTTGCAGCATCCTGGGTTCACGCGATCACCATTTTCAACCTTTCCAGGCAATGACTGACAAGCAAAGTCAATAGGCGATGCTGGATTTGCTTAACAACCGCATGATGCATTTAACAACTACAGTGATTAATTTACCAATTTTGGCAAAAAAAGGTTGTAAAGTCAGAGATTATTTGCTTAAAAACTGTCTTGTTATGCTACTCTGGTCCCAGTGATTGCCGTAAGTTGAGGATTCCCTGTATGTGTTTCCTGCAGAAGGCCCCAGTTTCATAGCTTTCCATCAACATCTTGGAAATATCCACAGCTGAGAATTATTAGTTGGAATGGATACTGCTGAGCCAGAAAGATTAGTAGCCCAACTCACAAAAAGTGGTTTTATATTGTCACTTGGGCATCAGCATTTCAAATTGTTTTCCATAAGTACAGATTATTGTAAGATGGAAAAAGTTTCACAGGAAGACAAATGTGACATTCTTGTAGCACATTAATGATAGGTTATAACTCTTGGATCTGCAATGTCAAGATGAGACCATGTAAAAAAGAGACGGTATGAAGGAAGAGTTTCATAAATAGTTTAATAAAATGGTTCAGTGAATATACTCAAATATAGCTTGTCTCCTGCAATAAAAAAAAAATCTTACTAGGTAGTTTAAGGAAAATGCTCTTTTCTTCTCATTTTTCTTGGAATAATACTAACCTGTCTTAAGGAGTGTTATAAGTTATGTTTAGACAGTAGAAGAGAAGTTGCCTGAAAAATGAACAACACGATTCATATTCTTAATATAGTACAGTATTACTTTTTCCCACTGCTGCAAAATGTACAATCTAATCATTCTCTTCTCCTGGTGCATAGCTCAACCTCTTTAAAGCATTTGTGTAGGAAGAAGGTTAAGTCAGGGAGAGCAAAAAGTGAAAAACAGGAAAATTACAAACTACATTTGTTCATAAGAAATAAATGAAGCAAACTACAACAGGCTCACTCCAGGTAGCTAATAATTCTAGCATTTTGTGAGCTATTTCCACTAAAAAAAAATACACCCTTGAGAAAAAACAAAAAACAAAGAAAGAAAGAAAAAATAGCACCTCATCTCAGTCTCCAAAATACTCGTTATACAATGTTCCTGATTCTTCTTTGTCTTTTGAAGCCTTTACAAGGATACATTTATCTGAAATTGTGAAATTATTTTTCCCCTTTTAAAAATGTTTTAAAATATGCTACCTCCCCAACTGGGTAGCTAACAAATAGATTATTTTATGGGAATCAAAGGAAAAGCTCCCTTAATTATCAAACAAATTATCCTTAACTTTAGGGATTCCGGGACCAGATATCACTTTCTCTGGAACTTGCTTTTCCTTTGCAAGTGTGGATTTAACCGAGAACATGACCCTTTAGAACAGTGGTTCTCAACCTGTGGGTCGGGACCCCATTTGGGGTCGAATGACCATTTCAACGCAGTCCGCCATTTTTTCCCCCTTTTCCTTAGCTGTGCTACTCCCTTTTATTCTATTGGCTTTTGAAAGCCAATAGAATAGACTGTCTTGAATAGAGTAATTCTATTGGCTTTCAAAAGCCAATAGGAATTGTCCAGGCTGTCTCTGCCCTGCTGAGCCCGCCAAAAGTCCCATTCTGCAAACTGGTGCTGCACCAGTTGAGTAATCCTCAACTTACGACTGGTTGAGTAGTCCTCGACTTACGACCAGTTGGGGGGTCACGGCATTAAAAAGATTGAAAATCACTGCTTTAGAAATAGCTTATGAAGAAACTCAGAGAAACAGGTAGTCGCCGACTCAAAACAGTTTGTTTAGCAACTGTTCAAAGCCACAGTATGATGATGCTGAAAAAAATTACAACGAAGTCTTACACTTATGACTGTCACAGCAACCCAGTGCTCATGTGACCATGATTCTGGAGCTTGGCTACTGGCATGTATTTGTTATGACCCAGGTTGTCTAAACAGATGCAAGTTGCAACAAAGTCCTTTATTGCTGTGCTGTCCCATGACAAATGGTCTTACAATGGCCAGTAAAGCTCCACACTAAACTTTCCTGAAGGCAGCCACCCACAGTCAGTGTAACACAGATCCACAAACTAAAGCTAATAATCACCAGAGCCAATTCACAAAGCAAGGAGGAAGTCTGTAATCCAGAAACAAAATGCAAGTCCACAGGGCAAGGTCCGTAAATCATAAACAAAGTTCAAGGTCCACAAGACAAGATCAGGAGTCCACAAGCAAGGTTTGGTGTCCATAAGCTAGAAACACAGTCCAAAGCAGAGTTTTTCCAAGGCCGGGGAAGTGCGTGCCAAAGTAAAACAATTGTTCCTCATGAAGACACCTTCCCCCAGCCTCTGATTAAATCAGCTCAAGCCAGATGTTCCTTGTGAGGAGGGGTGGGGTGGCCTCCTTTGAGGCAGCCTTGCAGGCCTCCTTTGAGCTTGCCTCCGCTCCACTCTCCTTGCCCTTGGATCGAATGGGTGAGGTAGCTATTCCTCATCAGAGGGAATGTGCTACTTCTCATCCCCACTGCCTGTTTGCAGCCGATCCTCCCCTGTGTTTATGAGGGCAGGCAGCTACCCATCTGATCGACCACCTCCCCCAATGCCAGAGGGGCCTGGAACAGCATCCTCCTCAGCCCCTGGATTCTCCAAACATTCCAGGGGAGATATGCCATCCCCATTGGATGGCCCTAACTGTTATGGTTCCGGCTAATGAAACATTTCAAAGAACTTCCATGCATTATTTTCCTAAAAGTCTTTTATTGTTACAAAATGTCAGCACAGGCACAACGGAGGGATGCTAGGATCTAAGTTCTCTTCCTCTGAGCAGTTAAATTATCAGTATGTTCCTTCCCTAAATTAGCTGTCATATCTCACATCATCCAATTAGTGTGAAGGTCAAATGTTTTCTTCCTCTTTTTTTCCCCAGGCTTTACCCTCAACCCCCCTTCTGCTCTGTATTAACCCCATAATTACCAGACAATTCTATATATTGTCAAAAGCAAGAATATACAATATTTGCAGCGTTGACACTAACCCTAATTCCTCCTCCTCAAAACTGGGATCTGTTGGGTCATGACAGTATTTATGATGGTTGCAGTATCCATCCAGGGTCATTGGTTGCCATTTGCAACCTTCCGGAAGACTTTCAATAAACAAAATTTTAATGGAGGAAGCTGGATTCATTTAATGGCTGTTGATTCAATTAACTGCAGTGATTTGCGTAACAACCGTAGCAAAAACGGTCAGTGGCAGATCTTGGCTGGCTGTAAAAGACACAACACTGAAGCTGGGGGAGTTGTATAGAGCTGGTGGTCAGCATTGCTTCTGGCTATCATATAACCAAAATGGGAATTTAAGGTGGGGAAGGACTTTAAATCTTTCTTGATAACTGCACTGTTCATATCTGTCTGAATTCAGAATAGGTGCAAAATGTTTCACATAATAATTTTGAATCATTAGATATGGCTTGAATAATACAGTATGTATTGTTACATACAGAAATGGAAAAGGCCTCTGATTTAAACAAATCAGAAATCAAAAACATTGCAGTTCTGATGAAGACCCACCTAAGTAGAAGGAATACATCTCTTTTTTTCTCTCCCCTCTCCCTGCGTAATATCTACTGATTGAAACATTTTCAATCCTGACTTTATAAGGCCAACTGAATTTATCAAGCCACCAAGGCAAAAACAAAAATTGACTGATACATAGAAAGAGTTGGGTTGTTTATCCCTCAAGCACTTGGTCTACAAGATTTTGAACAAAGCAACTAAGCATCATCAAACATAAATCATTTTAGCAGCATCAAATCAGGGAAAATGGATCTTTATTCCAACCACAGCAGCACCAAAGTACTCATTCTATAATTTGCATGGTCCATAAAGGACCAAACTTGTCCACTGGACCAGAAGAATCCACAGGTATCATCCCTTTTATCAAAGTGATGAAAGCAGCATCACACAGTTGCACTGAAAGCTCTCCATCCTTTTGTATGTCCCTGTAACATTGTGATGCACATATGAAAGGGATGGAGCTTGCATACCACTCTTTTCATCCTTTCCCCCTTATTCATCCCATAAATGCACTTGACCAAAGTTTTTCATTTTAATTTTCTTGCATTTTCCCCAAATATTCACATCACTTTGATTCTGCCTCAACATCCCCTATTGTTTAGTATTACTGTGCCATTTTTAAAACTCTTCCCACATATCTTCTCCTTCCCCCTCCCTTCCTTCCTTCCTTCCTTCCTTCCTTCCTTCCTTCCTTCCACCCACAATTATATTTCCTTTTATTGTGTGGCATGCTATATCAAGCGACATAATTTTCTTTAAAAATATCTATTTATTTATTAAATTTATATATCTATATAAATAAATTGTATTTATATCTATAATACAACCATCTGGAGTGTAGCCTGCTTCCACATACAATCAGTTGAATTATCACATCCAATTTCTCATAATGGAATATATTGTGTTTATAAGGCTTTCAAGTCTATGCCATGCCTTCCAAATGTTGCAAGGACTTTGAAACTTATGTATAAGTTTTAGATTTTATGGTAAATATGTGCACATGCTTTTGAGGCAAGGTAAATGTTGCAAATTCAACAGAATGGCAGGAGGGAAGAAAACTGTGTATTCAGTATGAATTTAAGTGTGCTTTTTATCCCAGTGAATTTGTTCACCATAGTGTGACAATTTTTTCTCACTGATTGTTCAATTAATGGCTGTTTTTTTCTATTCTTCTCATGTTCTCCTCCCATCATTCTTATTCTCATACATTTAACACATTGTAATGTGCATCTCACTGGCGGTTGTTTTGTCAATTTATTTGACTATTCCACATCTTTGTTTTTAATTTTGATATGGTCATTTTTGGTGGCTTTTTGACCCAGATCCCATTGACCCATTAGAAGTTGATTTTTATCCTTTGCTTGATGATTTCCCTACCTCAGTCCCAGATATCTCCACCCCCATGCTCCCACCAGTAGGTGTCCAGGCTGTTGCATTAACCCATGATGCTGTGAGGGTCAGTTGGGCAGACAACTCCGTTCCCAAGAATCAGAAGACCACGGAAGTTCGGTTTTACACAGTGCGATGGAGAACCAGCTATTCTACAAATGCTAAATACAAGGTGAGACCTTGGAAGTCATAATTTCCTCAACCTTTATCTGTATTTGTTTGAGATGGACAGTTCATCATATATTCCACAATTCCAGAAGCAGAGAATACTGTAATCTAGATCAGGGGTAGGCAAGTTTGGCTCTTTTATGACTTGTGGACTTCAACTCCCAGAATTCCTGAGTCAGCATGGCTAGTCTAGACCATTGTCAGAGTCATCAATAGTTTAGATAGGAAACCAATAAGTGTCTTGAATGATCAAGATGTAAACAATAAAAAATATTGAAGCACTGTGTGGTCCTTGCTGCTCTCTGAGCTTGGTGGTTTTCTTCCATAATTTTCTTGCATAATGTTTCATTATCAAACTAGATAACTTCATCAGTACTAGATTAGTTTCATTATCTAATTTGTTAATGAAATGTCTGCAAGAAAACCACCAAACTCAGAGAGCACCAATGACCTTACAGTTCAACCCTGAACTTCAGATATTCTTTTCTGACAGTTTTGAAACACTGCTAACAATTTGCAATTGTTGGGATGGATAAATCTGTCAAAATAAATTTTGCTCATATTTTCTTATCCATCCTTTTTTCAAATTAGTGTGTAATTGTAAAATCATTTGAAAATAGGAAAGCCACAAGTATAAGATATTTTTGTCTGTATTTTCCATGATATACACATTTTTCTGCCTTTCCTAGCTTAAACATTTTTTTTCATAGCTTCATTTATTCAGGGTGCTGTAAACTGAATTGCAAATTCAGAAAAAATGTAGACAGAAATTTATGCTTACTTTATTTTATTGCTTTAGAATAAGACCAAAAAAATATATGTGTACAAAAAATGTAATATATAAATAATTTCAGCTCCTGTATAGTTTTGGGCAGTAAAACCAACTATATTGCAAGCCAAAGGATTGAGGAGCACATTGCAGCCTTATAGAGTCATAATTCTATTATCGGAAAGAGAAAGTAGAAACCAAAAATGCAGCTGGCCTTGCATACTATGTTTATTTGGGGCAATTTTCCTTTCCAGCTAATGCCAAGAGTAAGAAATGTGCCTGAGCACAGATGACTGGTATTATTCATTACTACAGCATTTTATATACAGTCTGCCAGTGGTTCATAAGAAAACAAAATTTAGTTCAAAATAAAATGAAAACCTAAAATTAGAAGGAAAAAACATCCACCTAAAACAAATCAATACCTAGAAGTCTGTATTTTCATTTCCTCAATAGCATCTTCATCTGTGCATAAATAGAGACCATGGTGGTCCAGTGGTTAGAATGCAGTATTGCAGGTTAACTCTGCCCGCTGCGAGGAGTTCAATCCTGACAAACTCAAGATTGACTCAGCCTTCCATCCATCTGAGGTTGGTAAAATGAGGAGCCAGATTGTTGGTGGGCAATATGCTAATTCTGTAAGCCGCTTAGAGAGGGCTGTAAAACACTATGGAGTGGTATATAAGTCTAAGTACTATTGCTATAAACATGGTTGAGGAAAATTATTATTCTTGCTTACCTGTAAAGGAAAAAGGGGTTTTTCACTTGCTCTTCTCCATCAAAATGGTGACAGTTTGTGATTTTGTGATATTAACTGAAGCAAGGTTTACCTGTGGGCAGTTGTCTTCCTGAAAAATTCTGAAAATTTTAGAAGGATACTAAGAAAAGAATTATTTAATTTATTTATTTATTTACTAATTATTTAATTAATTAATTAATTAATTTTATATAGCCACCCAACTCACACACAGGTGATTCTGAAGAGCTTATAACATTTTTTAAAAATCTACCATATAATAAAATAAATTGATACACACACACTGCCCCCTATTTCAGGAACAGCACCTTCAAATCAGCCACTTGATCAGCTTCATCTCCATATGTGGTCCTCGGGCCTGGTGACAAAATCACATTTTTAGGGCATTTTAGAAGAGCAAGAGGATGGAGGCAAACAGTACCTTGGGGGGGAATGATATTCTATTGAAGGGGCCAACACCAAGAAGGGCCATTTTTGTAGGTGTCTTACGAAAGCATTTGGCTGACATTAATATGGTATGTGCTAAAATATGAGGCCGAATGTCTTATATTTCAGTCTATCCACAGTGCAGGCACATCCCTATTTTTAGGAAGGATTGTCTCTGATTCCCCATTATGCATCTTGCTTAAAGTTTTCACCATTTGCTGTCTTTTTTCTGCTGCATTCTATACCACAAAGTTCAGCCAGTATGCTGAATTGGATTTCTCAATTCATCCATTTTCTGGTTTCATGTGGTTACATTGAACTGACCCAATGGTCTTAATTCACACAACATGCTAAGCTTCCCTACTATCCACACACCTGCCATAAAAAAATAAAATAAATCCCAGGGTAAAAGCCAGCTAAGTGCAGTATGCAGTAAGCAGTGTGAATGAATTTGGTAGTCTTGGTTGAGCATGTGGTGCAAATCCCCCAAATAAGTCACTAAGCTGAATTTTATATGCACACCTACAGAGAGAAAGATTAAACTACTGAGTCAGATCTCTCTTGCAAAGAGTTTGCATATTTAAAAGACTGTTCATCAAAAGTCAGATTGAAGGAATCTGTATAATTTACCAAAGAAGCTCTCGCTCTTTCCGAAATAAAGGCCCAATCCTGATAAACTGTGACTATTGGAGCGTTTGATATTTACATAACCTTTCATAATTTCTCCACTCTGCTATCAGCGTTCTTCTTATCCAGATCATCTCTGAAAGAAAAATTATAGGGATTTCCCTTGGCATAAAAACAGTCACAAACTTAAAATTAGAATTTAACTTAAAAACATTCTTGCCACCAAGTTGCAAGTATTTTGTAAGTGCAAGTACGTTGCAGAAGAAAAAATGACCCCGTCTCATCATTTGTTCCAGTTCAACCTGATTATATTGAAATTATGAACTGAAGTCAATTATATTTACTTCAGTATAACCTCAGAATGTCTTAGGGACCCCCTGAAATGGTGCTTTGGAAACAACAGTGCTCCATCAGTAAATAAACATTAGAAACAAAAGTAGAACTTTTCCATTAGTTATAAGTATAGTGGCTAAACATAAAGAACATTGATGAGAATGGAAATTCATAGTTGATCCATTGTTCCCATGTTAGATCTTTAGGAAGAATGCAAAAATGTCGAAGTGCTGTTCATTAACTCATCTGTCTCCTTTTCATTGCCATTTTGTTCCCCAAATTAACAGTTTATTTTTTCATGCCCAACATAAAATGCAGAACTTTGTTGGCTTGAGGATAGAATTGCAGTCTTCAACTTCTCTCAGGGGTTGTATGATTTCATGAGTTAGATCCAGAGTCTACCCTCTCTCTGAGATTTCTCCCGTTGTGGCCAGATTGATGGTTATTTCTCCATGGAGAAAAAAATAACCCGTCATTTCTCCATTTACTATATGTTGAGAAATGCAACAAACCCAACGTGAAGGAAGAGGCAAATCTTTTTTTTTGCCAAATTGTCAAGAGGAGGCAGATTTTGGAAAGGAGTAAGATTTCATGAAGATGATGATTATGGCATTTTTATTCCATCTTTTTAAATGTCTTTTGGTCAACTCAAGGTGATAAGCATACCTAAATATCCAGTCTCCTATTTTCCTGGCAACCCTGTGAGGTGAGGTGAGCCCAAATTCATCCAGCTTTCTCTCCTGCCTAAGGGAAGACTAGAATTCAGTTTTCACATTTCTAGGCCGGGACAATTAACGAGTGGAACAACCTGCCTCCAGAAGTGGTGAATGCTGCAACACTGGAGGTTTTTAAGAAGAGACTGGGCAGCCATTTGTCTGAAATGGTATACGGTTTCCTGCCTGAGCAGGGGGTTGAACTAGATGACCTCCAAGGTCCCTTCCAACTTTATTACTATTATTATTATTATTATTATTATTATTATTATTATTATTATCAATCATCGCACAGTCAGCCAGATGTTCAGACTGGATTTGGCATTTTGTCTACCTATCGAGTCCTTACCCAGGACCTGGGATAGGCAAATGTGGATGTTTGATGGTATTACAGGTATCGTCGCAGGATGGAAGCAGTTCCTAATAAGGCCGCCTTTTGCAATTGACTAATAGCAAAATTTGTCAATGCCAATGGTGTTCAAGTGGTGCTCCAGTTGTTTTGGGATTGCACCCAAGGAGCCTATGACTATTGGTACTACCCTTGCTTGCTTTTGCCACAGTCTTTCTATTTCTATTTGTAGGTCTTTGTATTTTGTTATCTTCTCCAGTTCTTTCTCTTCTATTCTGCTGTCTCCAGGCACTGCCACGTCCACTATCCAGACTTTTTTGTCTTTCTTATCGACAATTGTTAAGTCTGGGGTGTTATGTTGCAGGTGCTTGTCTGTTTGAATTCTGAAGTCCCAGAGCAGTTTAATTTTATCATTTTCTATGACTTTCTCTATTTTATGATCCCACCAGTTTTTGCTTACAGGCAAATGATATTTTTTGCAGATCTTCCAATGCACCATTGTTGCTACTTTGTCATGCCGCTGCTTGTAATCAGTCTGTGCAATCTTCTTGCAACAGCTTACCAAGTGGTCCACTGTTTCTTCAGCTTCTTTGCATAGGCGGCACTTACTGTCTGTTGCTGTCTTCTCAATTTTGACTTTGTATGCATTTGTCCTTAAGGCTTGGTCTTGTGCAGCCAGAATTAGTCCCTCGGTCTCTTTCTTCAATTTTCCTGCTCTTAGCCATTGCCAGGTTTTATTATTATCTGCTTTCCCAGCTATTTTTTTCATGTATTGGCCATGTAGTGCTTTGTCTTCCCATGCCTCTATTCTGTTCTTCATTTGGTCTTTCTTGTAGGCCACTTTGGTCTCTCCAGTAGTTAGTAAGCCTTCCTGATATACTAATTTCAGTGCATCTTCATCATTGTTCTTCAGATATTCTTCCAAAGCCATTTTTTCTTCTTCAACCATCTGATGTACTTGTAGCATTCCACGCCCACCTATTTGCCTTGGTAGATAAAGTCTATCAATGTCACTGCGTGGATGAAGGGCATGATTCATTGTCATTATTTTTCTGGTCTGCCTATCCATTGCTTTTAGTTCTGCCTGAGTCCAGTCCACTATTCCAGCTGTGTACCTAATGACTGGGATTGCCCAGGTGTTGATTGCCTTTATGGTATTTCCTCCATTGAGTTTGGATTTTAAGATCTTCTTCACTCTCTTGATGTATTCACCTCTAATCTTTTTCTTGACTTCAGTGTGCTTGATGTTGTCAGCTTGAAGGATACCCAAGTATTTGTAGTACTCTTCCTCATCCAGACTCTTAATGTTATTTTCGTGGGGCATCTTGATTCCTTCAGTTTTCACTATTTTTCCTTGTATTATTATTATTATTATTATTATTATTATTATTATTATTATTATTATTATTATTATTATTATTATTATTATTATTATTATTATTATTATTATTATTATTATTATTATTATTATTTTGGATCATCGCACAGTCAGCCAGATGTTCAGACCAGATTTGGCATTTTGTCTACTTATCGAGTCCTTACCCAGGACCTGGGATAGGCAGATGTGGATGTTTGATGGTATTACAGATATCGGCGCAGGATGGAAGCAGTTCCTAGTAAGGCTGCCTTTTGCAATTGACTAATAGCGAATTTGTCAATGCCAATGGTGTTCAAGTGGTGCTTCAATTGTTTTGGGATTGCACTCAAGGAGCCTATTATTATTGGTACTACCCTTGTTTGCTTTTGCCACAGTCTTTCTATTTCTATTTGTAGGTCTTTATATTTTGTTATCTTCTCCAATTCTTTCTCGTCTATTCTGCTGTCTCCAGGCACTGCCACGTCCACTATCCAGAGTTTTTTGTTTTTCTTATCGACAATTGTTAAGTCTGGGGTGTTATGTTGTAGGTTGTTGTTGTAGGTTGTTGTTGTTGTTGTTGTTGTTATTATTATTATTATTATTATTATTATTATTATTATACCTCAACAGGAACTTTCTGCTGACTTTTGAGGGCTTGGGTCATCTTTGTGTCATTGTTGACTCCTGGACTAATGGTGTGTTAACCACTACATCAAACTGGCTTTCTCTAAGTATTCATGCCCATAGTAGATTTCTTATGAAAATTTGAATTTAGGAAAAGCTAAGTTATATCACATCAAAGGCATCTTTATCCCAGTATTCTTTTTCATACAATGGTTAATGACCTATGAGGAGTCTACAAGCAGAACATGGAGTCAATAGTCCTTTTTTGGCTGAATCCGAATGGTATATAGCTATGGATATCGTTGAAGTATTTCTTTGAATAGGATAGATAATAAAAATGGTTGTGACTGTTATGGCTTTCAAATTTATCTGAAAATTCATGGGGACAAGTGATGTTCTTTCAGAGAAATCTGAGATTTCAGTTTAATTTTATGTTATCATGTTACTTATGATAATCCCTAATCATAAGGCATTTATCAATATTAAAAAAATCCCATAAAACATGACTAGTTCCCAAGTCTGTCCTATGCTCATGTATGTTCTGTATGCTTTTAAAACTTAATGATATTATATTCTAGCCCTGATGCTCCTTTACTTTATGTGCTTTTCTCTTATTCTACCATTGGTTGACATACTTTAAAATGAAACTTCTCATATTCAAATTGTTCTTTGATATGAATTTAAATAAAAGAAAAATAAGAGAAAATGTTGAATATCCATCTGTTCTGTCATCAAAAAAAATAATGCAATTTTGTCCACTTCGATTAATTTAAAAACACTCGTAGAAATGTCATGCTTGTGTGTACAATAGCAATAGCACTTCAACTTATATACCACTTCATAGTGCTTTACAGCACTCTTTAAGTGGTTTACAGAGTCAGCATATTGCCCCCAACAATCTGGGTCCTCGTTTTACCGACCTTGGAAGGATGAAAGGCCAAGTCAACCAATGGAAGGCTAACCACAGAGCCACCAGAGCTGAGGGGCATGTGCATAGACACACACACACACAAAAAAAAAAACAACACAATAGATAAACCTATTTGGCCAAAATCACCAGTATAATGATTTATTTTCATTTATGCAATTAAATGTATATGAAGGTTACTCAAAATGATCTTGTTGGAAAGGGATTCTATCAAATATTTTAAAATTCCTTCAATTAAGTGAATGCCATGGACCCAAATCACATTTTACAGGATGTCAAAAAATTGCCTGTCCTTCTTTAATTGTTGTTCCTTTAAAGAACAGCAATACATTTTTTTACACATTATTGCATTGCTCAAATTTATTTTTTATCTAATTTACTCTCCCAAGTTTGACACACTTACAGTCCTTCCAGGAAGGAAATGGGAAAAGAAGAATCTGGGATGAAGTACAAGTATTTTACTGTTATGGAGCACTGCTCATTTATTTTAAAAGAGACTTTTATTTACTTCCATATCCTTCTCTTGTCTATATTACCTTGATAGTCTCTACCCTGAAGACAATTCAGATTAAGGAGAGATGTCAGCCTGATATCTTATAGTAACACAAAACAGAAGAATGGAGAATAGAAGCCAACAGAAGAGGGCTTTGTTCCTTATCAAGAGAAGGAAGGAAGGAAGGAAGGAAGGAAGGAAGGAAGGAAGGAAGGAAGGAAGGAAGGAAGGAAGGAAGAAGGAAGGAAGGAATCCTTTATAGTAGTAGTAGTAGTAGTAGTAGTAGTAGTAGTAGTAGTAGTAAAGTTGGAAGGGACCTTGGAGGTCATCTAGTCCAACTCCCTGCTCAGGCAGGAAACCCTATACCATTTCGGACAAATGGCTGTCCAGTCTCTTCATAAAAACTTCCAGTGTTGGAGCATTCACTGCTTCTGGAGGCAGGTTGTTCCACTGGTTAATTGTTCTAACTGTCAGGAAGTTTCTCCTTAGTTCTAGCTTGCTTCTCTCCTTGCTTAGTTTCCACTTGTTGCTTCTTGTCCTGCCTTCAAGCGCCTTGGAAAATAGCTTGACTCCCTCTTCTTTGTGGCAGCCCCTGAGATATTGGAACACTGCTATCATGTCCCCCTCATCCTTCTCTTCATTAAACTAGACATACCCAGTTCCAGCAACCGTTCCTTATATGGTTTAGCCTCCAGTCCCCTGATCATCTTTGTTGCTCTTCTCTGTACTCTTTCTAGAGTCTCAACATCTTTTTTACATCGTGGCGACCAAAACTGGATGCAGTATTCCAAGTGTAGCCTTACCAAGGCATTGTAAAGTGGTATTAACACTTCACGTGATCTTGATTCTATCCCTCTGTTAATGCAGCCTAGCACAGTGTTGGCCTTTTTGGCAGCTGCAGCACACTTCCTTCTCCATTATAACTCATAATGACAATTTTATGACATAGCAGAAAGCCTTCTAAGGCTGCCAGTATCAGGGGGAAAAAAAATCACTAGGAATTCAACTGGTTCATTCATAACAAAGCCTTGAGTGTTATCCCTGGAGATGACAGAATTGTAGAAGCAGTAACTCAGTTAAGAAGAAGTTGACCACAGTGATTAATACTGATGCCTAATGGTTTCAGATACAAACCATTTTTGAATTTGGATCAAGTACAATAAATCAAGAACCTCACAGGGAATGGAAAGTTTTAAGGAAAATGAAAAATGTGAGAGAAAGTCTCTTTAGTGAATCCAATATGACTAAGCTTTAAAGATACCCTTTTTCTTTTCTTTCTAGTCAGCAGATACAACAGCCTTGAGCCATACAGTGTCTGGTCTTAAGCCAAATACCATGTATGAGTTCTCTGTCATGGTGACCAAAGGTCGGAGGTCAAGTACATGGAGCATGACAGCTCATGCTACAACATATGAAGCAGGTAGGTCTCTAGAAAAATTCTAATAAGGTTTTTTTCTGATTTAATGCTTAGTTTAATTACATTAAAAACCATTTCCTTATAATCCACTCATATTGCAATATTTCAGAAATAGTGTTAAAATAAATTATTTTAATTGAATCTTGTTTATAATGCAGCAGACAATTCATTTATAGCTCCAACTTATTTCGAGGTGAACTTGATACACTTTGGTCCAAGAGATACTTCCCATATTGGATGACAAAAATAAATAAAGGTCCTTTTGTTTTTTGTTGTTTTTACTACTGCTAAGTGATGGTTGATGTCTAGCAAGATTTAAAGCATGTAGAAATTCATAGCAATAATAATTACAATTTTATTAATAATTGGTAATGAAGTTGTAGTTAGCATAGTATACTAATATTTATAAGAAGAATTAAGGGTCTTTTTTCAAACTGGTAAAAACAAATTTTCTTCAGTGTTATATATTAGTCTATATTTATTTATTATTGCATTGCACAATAATCATTTTAAAAGTACATTTTTATGTATTTATTTATCATTTTTTCTTATGTAATGTTCTCAAAGGATTTAAATATATGAAGACTATCAGGCAACGTTTAATCTTACCATGTACTGTATGTGTTTCAAATCACTGTCATTTAAGTCATTTCCAAATATCATATTACATTATGCTTTCTTTACCTTTAAAAAGATTTCAAACGTGTGTAAACACGGTGATTTTGAAGAAGAAAGCATGAAATCATTTTAAAAATAATAGTGATTGGCTATTCTTCAACTGTAACCCCAAATTTATTCATATTCTTATGCCCAAACCAGTGATCATGTTGTTATCTCTAAAGCTATGTATGTTTAATGATTCTTGAATCTATCATTCATGGAACATTTAGTAGACATGATTATATTCCTCATTTCTCCTTGGTAAATTCACCTAATAAAAGGCTACTTTTTTGTCCCAAATCTGTCCCCCTAAAACCTAGAAACCTGATGTCCTCTAATCTGCAAAGGAATGCTATAAACATTAACCCCTCAATTGGATTTTTTTTTAGTTAGGAGGACTGCTTACTGTGTTACAAAATGTTCTGTAAAAGTAGTAATATTGAGTATGGGAAGACTCCCATTATGGTGGTCACATGATAGCAGGTAGTTTTTTTCCAAGGAGGTCAACAAGCTGATATCCATATCCACATATTAAAATGTATGGAACTTCAAAAGTGTGACCATGATCACCTCTTGACTTTTTTCATCCTCTGTGGACATGTCTAATTGCATCCAGAGTTTATCTAATGATGAGATTTCTCTATTTGTTAACATTAAGTGGATGTGTACTGCACAAACAGAACAAAAAGGGCTATGTGGAGGAAAATTTTAACACTACTAAAGTGTATTATTAGTTTAGGTTTAGCCCTCAGGGTGCTTTGACCTAGCAGCTTCTTTTATCGACATGCAAACTTTATCTTTCTGTTTACCAAGAGAGCCCCTTAAGACCAGGTTGTTGAAATATGAGATCCAGATGGAGGCAACATTTCCTTTGAAATATATGAATTGATCAAATTCACATCCCTGTTAATAAAATTCATATATATGTATATAAAATGTTGAAAGTTTTGTGCTACTCCTTTTTTGTAATATAATCCTCCTGTGGAAATATGAACATGAATGCATAGTTTAGAGAAAATTATTTAAAAAACTATCATTTATAAACAATACAGAAAAGTGCTCATAAAATGAATACAAGGAAAAAAGTACAAGTTCACAAAACGGGTTGGTGCTGAAATAGGATGGAATGAAATTGTGCTGGAAAACAAATGTATATGTTAGGAAGTAAACTGGTTTAAAATATGTTGGATGGTAGGGTAAAAAAATGACAATAGTTGGTAAAGTTAAAGAAAGTGGAAGGAAAGATAATGATAAAGGTGTCTTGACATAATTAAGGAGATTACTGGAATGTCTACTCTAAAGAAAAGAAGTACTGGGGTGACATGATAGCATAGATCAGGGGTCTTCAAACTTGGCCCTTTTATGACTTGTGGACTTCAACTCCCAGAATTCCTCAGCCAGGCATGCTGGCTGAGGAATTCTGGGAATTGAAGTCCACAAGTCATAAAAAGGCCAAGTTTGAAGACCCCTGGCATAGATATTTGAGAGGCTGCTACAAAGACAAAAACACTGTTTTTCAAAACACCTGAAAGCAGGATAAGAAGCAATGGATGGAAACTAATCAAGGAGAGGAGCAACTTAGAACTAAGGAGAAATTTCCTGAAAGTGAATACAATTAACCAGCGGAACAGATTGCCTTCAGAAGTTGTGGGTGCTCTGTCACTGGAGGTTTTTAAGAAGAGATTGGACGGCCATTTGTCTGAAATGGTATAGGGTGTCCTGCTTGAGCAGGGAATTAGACTAGAAGACCTCCAAGATCCCTCCCAACTCTGTTATTCTGTCCTTGGGTAATATTATTTATAGTATTTTATTATTCTTGTGAGCCTCCCAGTTGTGCCACATAAGGTGGGTGGCCATAGAAATCTAATAAATGCATAAATGAATAAATAGTTCCACATTCTCACTGGGTACAGATCACAATGGAGACATTTATCCATAAAGTCACAGGAGTTACACTGTTTGATGACATCTAACTAAAAATAATTAAGATCACTTAAGGGAAGGAGCCTGGGAATGGTCAAAGGAGATTAGAACAAAGGAACATAACTGTCTGTCATAGACAAAGGCAGAGCCATTAGGTCCACGAGTCCCCTTCAAAACTCTACATACTATGAAAGCTCTCATGTCTGCAACATTTAATTGGATGAAACAGTGCATCATAGAGCAAAACGTTTTCAACCAAAGTATCTCAAACTGGCTAACTTACAGAATACTGGACCCATTGCCTCCATGAGAATGAAATTTCAGAATGTTCTTGCTGTTTCAGCCCGACCGTGCTGCTGTTGTTCAACACCACTTTCTTGCTGCCGCAGTCATGTGATCCTCATTTACAATATTCAGTGACACCTTCCCACAAGGGAGAATCCTGGGAAGGTTGCAGGGAAAGTTAATGGGGAATCACATGATTGTGGCCAACTTTGATAACGTGGGAGTTGATTTGGAATTTCTGTTTAGGTAAAGAAGTACATATGAAACAATGACCTATAGCAGAGGTGTCAGACTGCCGGCCCGCTGGCCGGATGTGTCATGGCGAAACTACACCCACCCCATTGCCGGCAATGGAAAAAAAGTCACAATATGTTGTGACACATCATGTGACATTGCAAGTTTGACACCCCTGACCTATAGGGTTACAGTTTCGTAGTCTAAATTAAAGCATCCCCGGGAAAGGGTTGTCATGCTGCAGTTAAGAAGAGCATTTTGAATTCCACTGCAAAACAGCTCCTACTATTTTTCTGGCATTCAGTCTGAATCTGCTTTTCTGCAATCTCCATCCATTATTCTGTGTCCTGTATTCTGAGATGAGAAAGAAGTCTTGATTTGCCTTTGCCTCATACCTTTGTAAGTATTTGAAGAGTGCTATCAGTTGCTTCCCCAGCTGTCTTATTTTAAAAGCAGACATTTCCAATGCCTTCAAATCCTCTTTGGGGGATCTAATTTCTCATCCCCTGGTCATCCTCATTGCTTTATTTTGTTACTGGCTCTACCTGTCAGAATCTTTCTTAAAGGTGTTGTCCAGATCTTCAACACAATATTCAAGGTGGGATTGAGCAGTGAAGAATTACAAGGAAGTATTTTTGTGATCTGGGCACTTTAGTTTGATCAATCAACCCTAACGCTGCTGCACATACCTTTTTGCAATAAACTACTGTTCCAAAATCTTTCTCTCAAGTACCACTCACAGGTACTTTTATCCCTCAGTTATTTCTTTCTGATGTGATGAATTGTACACTTTGCTTGATTAAAATTCATTGTGTTATTGTTGGCTTATTTTTCTAAGCTGAAGAGAAAAAAGTTTGTTAGTGATTTCTAAGCTATTAGCTATCTCATTCAGTTTCATCTTCAGATCTGATTAGTATTTTCTCTAGCTCTTCATCCTAGTCATTAAAAATACAGATGTGTCCAGGGCATAAGACTGAACTCTGGGATACCACAGTCAATCCATCCTTTAAGTCCACTGAGAAATCTTTGATAAGCATTCTTTAGATATAAGTTTCAAGCCAACTTTGAGAATCTTGTATAATAATAGAGATTAAAGAAAAGGAACTAATGATAGATCACATATAGGTGTATCCCACATCCTGCTCAGCACATCTTGTCTGTAAGTAATCAAGCACAGAGATCCTTGGGTTTGTATACAAGGTAGTCCTTGAATTACAACCATTCATTTAATTACCATTCAAAGTTACAACACTGCTGAAAAAAGTGATTTACAATCAGTCCTCACATGTACGTCCATTACAATGTCCCTATAGTCATAGGATCAAAGATGGGCACTTGGCAACTGGCATATATTTACAATGGTAACAGCATCCTGGGGTCATGTGATCACCCTTTGTGATCTTCCCCAAGGACCTCCAATGAATCAATGGGGAAAGCTGGATTCAGTTAATGACTGCATGATTCGCTTAACCATCACCGTAAAATGGGTCATAAAATTGGGTGCACCTCACTGAACAAACACATTGCTTAGTGAAGAAGTACCAGTCCCAAATGTGTTCATAAATCAAGAACTACCTGTAGGCTAGAACATAAGCTTCCAAAGTTGACAACATCTTAACAGCTTCTGCACTGTCCTCAGTTAAGAATTTCTTTATTAGCAGTAACGGTAAGAATGTCTAATTTGTACAAAACTTCATGGTAGCTTGTATCATTATTGTTTTAATGTGTTCTCTTCTCTGTGTGTTTTTTCCTCCCTCTTCTGAACTTCTATTTTTTTCTAAGCCCCGACCTCTGCTCCCAAGGATTTGACAGTCATTACCCGTGAGGGCAAGCCTCGAGCTGTAATTGTCAGCTGGCAACCTCCATTAGAAGCCAATGGGAAAATTACTGGTAAGTTTATTTTGAGCTCTTTATCTTATCTTCTTCTCAGAAGGTGACACGGAAAGGCATGGAATTTAGAAGACCTGCACCACAACCCTTCCTGGGAATGACCATGTAAACTCACTAGGTGAAAAGGGAAGGAGGGGGATAACTACCCAAGAACCCCAGCCTTTTGTATTTTTAAAAGTGAGCTGTTTTGAAGAAAAGAGAAATATTTACTTCCCCATCATAGAACTATCAGCAAAACAAAGCAAAACAAAACAAAAAAATTCTTCCAGTAGGATCTGTAGTGGAATTCATCTGGAATTATTGGAATTGTCCTTCCTGAAACTAGAACAAAAAACAGGCACAAAATATTGGCTAATATTTCTCAAAGGAGTTTTTAAAATGGGAGGGGGAAAAAAAGCTGATGCTTGTAAATAGGTGTAACGGGCAAAAGATCTACTACTACTGAAGTCCCTAGATACCAGTGGCAAATTATCTTTTACCTATTTATTTATTTACAGAATTTATATGGCTGCCTATTCATATGATAGCTTTAGGGGACTTGCAGCAATCCATAAAAAAACTTAGTTAGAAACAAAAGTACACTTCCTGTCAGGCCCAGAGATTACCCAGTGAAATCCAATCGAGTTCAATCCTTAATGTCAACCATTTGACTAACATTGAGGAAGCTCGACGGCTTTGAGGTACCATAAAAGATAAACTTTATTGAATATACATCTCGGTACTGAAGAAGCAAAATCAACTCTAAGTTTCCCACACGAAAATCTGGCTAGTTAACTATAGCTTTCCATAACCCCCACCCACCAAGTGTTCATGTTGCCCAAACACATTTTTGGGGGGGTTGTTATGAGAATGGTCCATAACCTTCTCTGTCAGACACCTGCTTTTGTGACCTTGGGTCTCATGGTCCCTAGATGGCTTCTTAAAATCCCATTTCTCCCAAGCTTCCCCTCCCCTCTGTCTCTATGGCAAGTTGAGTAGTGACAAAGGTTAACAAGCATCTTAGCAATTCAATATTGACACTTTATTTGCTTGCACCTAATGGACAAAATCTTACCAGACTAAACCTATAACTGTCTACCTTAATAGATATATTCTGAGAAATTTTAGGGTGTGGCTAACCAAACTTCTTTATCTTCCCCACTTCCAGCCCAGGACAGTCTCTTAACCTGGGCCTTCCTCTGGGAAAACTCTGTGTTGCCAAACTCTCCCCCTCCTGCAGGTGCATATTCCATGACACTTCCCTCCCCCAGTTGTTAGATCAAACATCCTTGCAGTTCAATCCCCATCCTAGTCCAATACTTGGAGAAAGAGCTGATAAGGGAAATGACCAGCATGAGCCTGAGGGAGGGGTCAAATGTGTCATTAGTCTTGAGTCCCTTCATGTCCAGAAGAGATCTAAATCCAGCCTCCTTGAATTCTGTTGACTCTTATCTACCGCCAGTTTGCTTTGACTGATAGTAGTTCAGATTCCTGTAGAGTGTTGGCATGCAATAAGCCCATATTCATTGGAACTGCCTTGCCTCCTGATTTCCTGTGCTTGACAGCCAAATCTTCACAGCCCTCCAGAAGGCTAAGGGTAAAGATCCCACAAATCTCAGGTGGGAGGCTGTTCCAACTGATTGATTTTGGATTGATTAGGGGCTGTAATCTTCATAAATCTGCATATCCATTGCAACAGAAGTGCATGTAGTAGCATTGTGCAATTTAGGAAAAATAAATAATGAAAAAAGCCACCTCTTTCATATAAACTGTCAATTCTCAGCACTTTAATACAGAACATCTAGCAGTATCCTCATTAATGTAGAATATACTCACTTATAGAGCTCTTTATTTTCAGATGGTTTATAGCAGTGGTGGTGAACCTATGGCACTCAGAGCCCTATCTTTGGGCATGTACGCCATTGCCCCAGTCCTAGGCCTTCAGCTGGGTTTATAAAACCTTTTCACTTTAGGCCTCTGCCGCCATGTGCAAAAAAAATAAAAAGGTTCAATCAGTCAATTTCAACTTCTCACGGGGAAAAAAAGATCTTGCAAAGTTGGAATTGATTGATTGAACTTTTTAGTCCCACCCAGTCTGCCATTACCACTGCAGCCACGCCCACCCAGTGGGCCACACCACCCAATGGGCCACACCCACCCGGCACTCGATGATACATAAGTGGGTTTTGGGTTGCAGTTTGGGCACTCAATCTCTAAAAGGTTCGCCATCACTGGTTTATAGTTTTCCAGTGAACTTACTGATTCTCTCACATATTTCAAGTCTAAAAGTTCTCTGTGGTTCCTATTCTAAATCCCACCAATCATCCTGTCAATGAACATAGTGTGCATTTGTTTTTTTCAAAAATGGACTTTTCATACGTCTGCAATTTTATTTTATTTATGATAGGTTTCAAAAACTTATTTGACATTTCAGTGCTCACCACTTTCTTTACTACTTACCATTTAGATCTGATTCAAGTTCACTGTAGAACAAGTTTTCAACTTCTGCAAAACCATAATTAACAAGCAAAGGACTGCTACATATTTAGATCACCATATTCTTAAAAATCAACCTTTGGCAGCAGAATCTGGGGGTAAATGCTTCCAAGTCTCATTTAAATTATTTCTTATTTAGTGTTAGCAATGAGTTGAGTCATCTTTCTTTGGGAGCTACTGAGCCAGCAACACGTGGTGATCTATTCATAGTTAGATGGCCCTTCTTTCTAAGTTTGTGACAGTGTAGAAAATAGATAGAAGAAATAACAAGCTAATCATCATACATGGCAGATGACTGCCTTCATATTTGGATTCATGATATTTCATTTAGTTTGGTTACCTTTCATCCAGTTTTCTGGTAAAGACTGAGATGGATCCCAAAACCCCTTATTACATTGGTAGTTTTACAATAAAAGATTAGTCAAACTGAATGCAAAGTAAAAGGCATCTGCCCTCTAGTGAGAATGATATTTATTTATATCCCATTTTTATTATTTTGATATATAACTCAAAGTGACTAACATACCCAAAATTCCTTCCTCCTATTTTCTCAACAACTCTATGAGATAAGTTGGACTCAGAGAGAGTGACTGGCCCAATGTCACCCAGCTGGCTTTCATGCCTTAGGCAGGACTAGAACTCACAGTCTCCTCGTGATTGGCCCACAGTCACCCAGCTGGCTTTCATGCCTAATGCAAGACTAGAACTCACAGTCTCCTGGTTTGTAGCCTGGTGCCTTAACCACTAAACCAAACTGGCTCTCTAGTATATGGTTGACATCATAAGTTTAGGAAGAGTGTTCAAGGTACCTTTGACATCTTAACTCAAGGCAATTGAGCAGGAATGTGATCTGAAATGGAAATGGACATATGTCATCAGTTCAAAACAGCATAATAGGCTTTAAGTTCCTACACCTGTTCACAATATAGCTTTTTCACTCTCTGGACCAGGGGTCTTCAAACTTGGCCCTTTATGACTTGTGGACTTCAACACCCAGAATTCCTCAGTCAGCCACGCTGGCTCAGGAATTCTGGGAGTTGAAGTCCACAAGTCATAAAAGGGCCAAGTTTGAAGACCCCTGCTCTGGACTAACTACATTTTATTAAATTCAGACTTGACCTGCAGCAATCATGTAGAAACATACCATTAATATCCATTGAAGTTGACTTTAATTATGGAATCTCAGGGTCAAGACCCCTTTTGAGGAAGCAGCTCTTTAAATCACTTTCAGCCAGTAGTTTTCTCTCGACCCAACCTATTACACAAGATTACTACAGAAACGAGGCAGGACTTTTATGTATTTCACTTTAAACCTCTAGAGAAAAGAGGGTTGCAATAATAATTGCAATCAAATAATGCTTGTTGAGAAATTCTGTGGAACACAGAGATGGCATCACCTTTCACAAAAGTAGCCATTTTGGGCAATATATCTCAGCTGCTCTTGTTTTTGTTTTTAGACAGAAGGAGGTTTTGCAAGAGATTCTAGTAATTAATTCCATGGAAAAATAACGAGAACTGAGGACAGCAAATCCTTCATTTCTTTCTAGAAAAAAAATATGATACACTGTAAAATAATACAGCCCTTCAGTTGCAATTAAGGACAGCTCATAATAAGCAAGTTGTTTGGCAAATAATGTAAAACATAATATAGATAATGATAGGATGCCCATATTGACACATGGTAAAAAAATTTATTGGTGGATGTTTTAACTGTGTAATAAGAAACTAAAGCACCATCTCAAACTCCTTAATACTGACTGACAAAAGACTGGATTTAATGAATGGTTATCTTAGTGCAAAAAATATTGCTATTAAAAACTATGCCTAATTAAGATATCCATTAGGTCATGTTAATTTGCTAAGAAAAATAGAATTAAGCCTTTAAAAAGAAAGAAAAAAGGGCTAATAATGTAGTTAAATGATCCCTATAGACAATGAATAGATAGCAATCCTGTATAAGACATACTTTGCAATTTATAAAATTGTCCACATTTATAATCACCCAAATGAAACAATGCAATTATTTGTCAGTGAGAAACTTCCTTCCTTTTATTAATACAACCAGAAGAACTTTCTGGTTTTAACTTCCAGACATTTAGAAAGTTTGACCAATTCAATTTTGGTCACCATACTACAAATACGATGTTGAGACTTTGGAAAAAATTCAGAGAAGAGCAACTAAGATGATCAAAGGCCTGGAGACTAAAACATATGAAGAACGGTTGCAGGAATTGGGTTTGCTAATCTAAAGAAAAGATGAAATAGGGGTGACATGATAGCAGTATTCCAGTATTTGAGGGGTTGCAACAAATAAGAGGGGGTCAAATTATTTTCCAAAGCACCAGAGGGCAGGACAAGAAACAATGGTTAGAAACTAATCAAAGAGACAAGCAACCTGGAATTAAGGAGAAACGTCCAAACAGTGAGGACAAGTGGAACAGCTTGTGGGTGCACCATCACTGGAGATTTTTAAAAAGAGGCTAGACAGTCACTTGTCTGAAATGGTACCAGTCCTCCTGCTTGAGCAGACTAGAAGGTTAAACTAGAAAATCTCCATGGTCCCTTCCAGCTCTATTCTATTCTGAGTTTTTGTTTCAAACTTCTAGTTCATGTCTTATTATGTATTATTAAGGACTACAGTAAGGCCTTCCTGATCCATACAGCCCTGGACCTTTCCTAATTTATACCTAACTCATTCTTCTTTTACTTTGGATCTTTTAGAGGTGTTACAGTTCAAACTGTTGTTGATGAGTTTTCAGGCCATGTATACAAGAAGACCCATTTAAAGTTCGTAATAACTTTACTAGAAGTGATGCTCCTATGATTTGGGTTAATTGTGCGTCAAAGTTTTCCCACACATCAGAGTGGCCAACCTTAATGGGATATAAGAAAGACCTTGGGAAATTCTGCCTAGGAAACAGTCAGATAAGAGTCAGCATAGACCACAACTTGATTGTGGGTGAGACAAGAGTCTCAAAAGAGACCTTCCCTAGGCTGTTAAGAAGACAGGTGTGAGGACTATCTTTTCAGACTTGCAAGATCCCTTGCAAGATAGAAATCGCAACCAGGTGAGTTAATTCTACTTTATTGTAAAGTTTCTTTGATAGAATCTTGTAAGTCTGAAAGGACAGTCTTCTCCCCCCCCCACACACACACACCCCATCTCCTTTACAGCCCAGGATATAGGGATGGTATCTTCTGAGTCTTGCTCTACCCCACGGGTGTCAAATTCTCCATGTCACGTGACATGTCACGACATATTGCAACTTTTTTTGCATTGCCGGACCTGGGGTGGGTGCGGCCTCTATATGATGCAACCAGCCCATGGGCCAGCAGTTTGACATCCCTGCTCTACCTACTATCCATTTGTGAGCTATGCTGTCCCTTATTTGATCATTCCCTTGACAGCATCTCTTTGCCCAGTCTCCCAAGGTCTTTTCCCCATACCATTGCATCATCATCATCATACTATAATAATACTATAATAATACATTAATGTAAATCAAATAAAAATAAACATAATTTTTGTGCCACCTTAGCTGATTCCAACCAGACTTTCAAGAAAATCCAGGACTATTGAGAATTGTGACTTACTTATTCCTTGAGGAGGTATATAAATTACTGTTATATCATTGGTAACAGTGTCACTAAATTACACTTTGACGGAGATTAGGTGTGCTTGTGTAACAATAGTCAAAGAGAGGTCAGGCATTCTTGACACACATAACAACAACAACAACAACAACAACAACAACAACAACAATAATAATAATAATAATAATAATAATAATAAAGTTGAAAGAGATCTTGGAGGTCTTCTAGTCTAACCCTGTGCTCCGGCAGGAAATCCTATATCATTTCAGACAAATGGCTGTCCAGACTCTTCTTAAAAACTTCCAGTGTTGGAGCATTCACAGCTTCTGGAGGCACTGATTAATTGTTCTAACTGTCAGAAAATGTCTACCTAGTTCTAGGTTGCTTCTCTCTTTGGTCAGTTTCCATCCATTGCTTTTTGTCCTGCCTTCAGGTGCTTTGGAGACTAGCTTGACTCCCTCTTCTTTGTGGCAGCCCCTTAGATATTGGAAGGCTGCTATCATGTCCCCCCCCTCGTCCTTCTCTTCATTAAACTAGACATACCCAATTCCAGCAACTGTTCCTTGTATAATTTAGCCTCTAGTCCCCTGAGTATCTTGGTTGCTCTTCTCTGTACTCTTTCTAGAGTCATCGCCTCACCTTTTCTTTTTAAAGGTCTTTCTGAAGCTGGAAAAGCTATTAGTTCCAGTTACAGTTTCCAATCCTGCCAATAGTTAGTTAAGGCTATAGTAGTGCTGATATTTGATAATTATTGTCATATCATTATCACTCACCCACATTTGTTTAAGCATTCAGAGCTGCCTTAAGTATAAGTGCATGCAAATTAAACATGATATGCTATACTGCTACAAGAAGTATTGTACTAAGTCTGACAAACTTATGCATTCTATCATTCTTTGAAATGCTTTCTGACTAAGGGTACAATTTTATATATGCTTGCTAAAAGGTAAGCAGGATGTCATGCAACCCTTCCCTATTGGCTTGCCACATCCAGCTGCCCAAATCTTCTCATTTCACAGCTGACTGGAATGGTTAGAGGCTGAAAACAAGGGAGCCATATGATAAAATGTGGGAGTATTTTAGTTTCTTATGAATGGCTAAGTTCCTTGCAAGGTTTATCACAAAAAAGGAGACATGTATACTCAGGCAACTAGGCAAGAGAATTACTTAGTGGGGAATTCATGTGTGTTTTTATATACAAAGGGATGGTCCATAGGTCTTCATAAATGCTGGCATCTGTGCATTGTTCCACATGAGCAACCCATATCAAAGACAATGATTACATTTCTAATAGGATTTGGCCATCCTTCTACCTTAACCTGACGGGCAAATGAAAGGGAAAAATATTTGTGGATGTGTTGGATTTTTAGGTGCTCATAGAAGTTTTTATGCATAACACCATACCTTCTCCTGACCTACTTAATCTGTCATATTGTGTAAGACAAAGATATGGTAGTTTGAAAGCTATGGGTTGCTTTATTTGTAGATTTCAACCCATTTTTTTACAACCCACAAAGACCTAAGTTCAGGTCATCAAAAATTGACAGCCAAACATGGGATGGGATGAGAAGATAAAGGAAGGAGAAACAGAAAAGAAAAAAGAAAAGTAAAGAAGAAAAGAAGGGGAAGGGAAGGGAAGGGGGGAGGAAAGGAAAGGAAAGGGAAAGGGAAAGGAGAGGAAAGGAAAGGAACAGATGGGGAGGAGAAGGGAAGGGAAATGTGAGTTTAGGTCCCTCGTATTTCTACTAGATATAACACAATTATTTTATCTTAATGCTGACCCAGTTAATCTACAGAAAAACCTCCACTTCCTACAACCCTCAGATAGTTCTCCTAAATGTGTGATCTCTAGTTGCAAGAAGATTGCTTTTTTGTGACCAATGGATTGGAGCAGTCATACAAAAGAGCATACTGTGCTTGCTTCATACAAGGAACTTCTGGGACATTGTCTGCATAAGACAACTTTCAGTTCAATTACATCTGCATTCATCTAAGGAGCTTAGATAAAATAATAATTATTTTATTTGTTTTTGATTAAATCTCTAAAGAGTGCTTTGGAGTTCAAATGTAACACCCTAAAGCAGCCATACTATCTCAAGAAATGGTACTGCATTTGTTCTTCTGTAAGTTCCATTGCACATTTTGGACACTGAGTCCTGAGCATTCTGCAGTCTAGATAGACGATGGATGGATGGATGGATGGATGGATGGATGGATGGACTGATGGATGAATATAACCTATCTGAAATTGCATTATCCAGATCTATAAATTTAACATTAAGGTTCTAGTTCTGCAAGCAGGAGTTAACACAGCCCATCTGCAGCCAAGGAGTAACATATATAGACTTGAGGCGTTTCAGTGAATTAAAGTTGAATAATACATCTTAGGCAGTTTGGTTTAGTGGTTAAAGGTACTGGGCAAGAACCAGGGGCACCACGAGTTCTAGTCCTGTCTTAGGAATAAAAGCAGACTTTAGGCCAGTCTACTCTCTGTTCCTTAGAAAATAGGCAATGGTGAACCCCTTAAAGAAACAACTGTTGCTAAATCCATGCAGTTGCCAGAAGTTAAAACTGACTCCAAGGCACCACCTCCAACAATACCCTTTAAGATGTACTTGTAAAAGAATACTAACACGGTTGAAATTGGAAAGAAATTTTCACACTATTGAGATAGGGCTAGATATGATTCTGTACAAGTGTTGACATTTCTACTTTAATAAATGCAAAGATGTGTGTAAATAGAGAAGAATGGTATGTCCTTCTATATTTTACAGCTTACATTCTGTTCTACACCTTGGAAAAGAATTCCCCCATTGATGATTGGATCATGGAGACCATCAGTGGAGACCGACTTACGCATCAAATTATGGAGCTGAACCTGGATACAGTATATTACTTCAGAATACAAGCTCGAAATGCCAAAGGGGTGGGACCTCTCTCTGACCCTATTCTCTTCCGGACTCTGAAAGGTTTGGGCTTGTTTCTTATTTTGTTCTGACATTATTGAAAAAGTTTAGGAGACAGTAAAATATTGTTCATGTTTGCATGTTGACATTAGAAGTGCCCAAACCAGGCCTTCTAGGATCCTACTGGTAAAATTGTGAAATGGTTTAGTGTAGTTGATTATAACAAGATAAAATCAATGAATAATAGTATTATAGATACATTACATCAGTCTATATATACCACTTTTGGTATATATACACTAATATACATACATACATACATATATACATACATACATACAAATACGTGAAGAAGTATTTCATAAACTAGACTGGGCAAAAGATGGAATAAAAATCAATGGCGCCTATTTAAATCACTTAAGATTTGCAGATGATGTTCTATTCTCACAAGACCCAGAAGAGTTACAAAGAAACATACAAGAGCGGCACAAAGCAGGATAACCGTTTGGCTTAAAAATAAATCAGGTTATGTTTAATAAATTCACTAAAGAAATTTAAAATATATATCTGGAGAAGAACCAGACGTAGTAGACCACTACATATACCTTGGCCAACAGATCTCAATGGAAGATGATTCAGTAAAGGAAATTAAATGGCATGCATTCGGCAACCTAAGCATAATTTTCAAGAACAACCTCCCCCTATACCTGAACAGAAAAGTTTTCCATCACTGTATGCTATCTGTTCTAACATATGCCAGTGAAACATAGACACTAACCCCACAATTGTTACAAAAGCTATGAGTGGTGCAAAGAGCCATGGAAAGAGACATGTTCAGCATCACAGGACAAGATAGAAAGACCCGCACATGGATTAGAGAAGAAATCAAAGTATACCATTAAGAGAGTAAAAGAATTGAGATGGAAATGGCTTGGTCACATAGCAAGAAGAACCTGATGGCAGGGGGATCCATCATAGAATGGATCCCACTTGATTAAAAGCATCCACGAAAGAGACCTAAAAGAAGATGGATCTATGACGTCAGCAAGTATTATGGGCCCAATTGGCAAAAGAAAGCTCAGGACTGAATTGGTTGGAAATATGTGGAAGAGGGCTTCATCCTGCATGTATGTATGTATATGTATATGTATGTGTGTGTACATACACAATACATTTACAATATATACATTTAATACAATATCTTGTATTGTATATATTGTATAGATATTGTACAATGTATACAATATACAATATATATACAATCAGTGGTACATATACACTAATATATGCATAATATATTGACACTATTGCTCAGTCATGGCTTGGAAGAATGAAGTGGTTGGGTGCACATTAAAATCATGGAGGAATAAATGAACAGCATTGTCCTAGTTATACTGCTGTTTTTGACCTAGGCTTAGCTCATTTGTTGTGATTCCATTTTTCAGGTTAGAGGAGATCCTTTTTTCTCTGGAATATTAAAAATTAACATGTTCAGCTGAATTGTTTCTTGGCTACACCAAAGTTTAGTAACATTATATTATATAAGAATTTTTTTCTGCTCTCTACAAAAAAAAAAAGCTTTATGTCCTGTGTGCTGACTATAGATTTTCAGGGCTGTATTTTATCTATAGATATTAATTTAAAAATTGTATTCCATAGAGCCTATAGCTCATTTTTGTATATATAGTGAGGAGAAGTGGTTAAGACACCAGGCTAGAAACCAGGAGATTGTAAGTTCTAGTCCCATCTTAGGCAAAAAGCCAGTTGGGTGGCTGGGCCAACCACATCCTTTCAGTCCTAGGAAGTAAGCAATGGCAAACAACTTCTGAAATCTTATTAAGAGAACTTTAGGGATTTTACAAAGTAGCCTTCAAGAATTGGACCCGAGTAAATGGAACAAATCTCTCTCTCTCTCTCTCTCTCTCTCTCTCTCTCTCTCTCTCTCTCTCTCTCTCTCTCTCTCTCTCTCTCTCTCTCTCACACACACACACACACACACACACACACAATCTCATCCCTAAATATCTAGGCGTTAAAGTGTTACTCGGTCAAACCTAAACCTCTAAATCTAAATTGTAATAAAAGACCAGCAGAGTCTACAAAATTCAGATTCTGAACCCTCAGTCAGGAACAGAAAAGTTTTCTTCTCTCTCTAGTAGGCTTCAAGACAAGGAAAGACATCCTTCTAGCATAATTTGAGCTGAGTTACAAAACTGCCCCAGCCGGGAGAAGAGTGGAAAATCAGAATAAAATAACAACATGTATTTTCTTCTGCAATCAGCACTCTCCGCCTGCTAGGGAATTTAGCTTCTGTGATACCACAAACACTCTGCTAAGTTACAGAAAGGGCAAGAAAACCAAAAGTGGGATTTTTCACTCTCTTCCTTCTGAGTAAAGATGCAAAGAGGACTTTTCTTCTTGAAGAGCACCTAGTGGCCACAGGTAGAACAAGCTTCCATGGAAGAGTGGGAGGGTGAAACAGTAGGACTGTAAGAAAGGGTTTAGGGATCTCTGCTTGAGAGACCTACCATATTGCCTATATGCTCATGCAATTTACACTTGTATCAAATCAGTCAGTCCTAGAGAAGATCAACTCCGACTGCTCTTTAGAAGGCCAGATCCTGAAGTTGATACTTTGGCCACCTAATGAGAAGGAAGGACTCACTGGAGAAGAGCCTAACACTGGGAAAGATGGAGGGCAATAGAAGAAGGGGACGAAGGGAATGAGGTGGCTGGATGGAGTCACTGAAGCAGTAGGTGTGAGCTTAAATGGACTCCAGAAGATGGTAGAGGACAGGAAGACCTGGAGGAACGTTGTCCATGGGGTCGCGATGGGTCGGACACGACTTTGCAATTAATAACAACAACAACATCACATGTATTAATGCAAACCATGTGTGCCAATGTACAAAAGAGCACACACAGAATCAGAGACACAGATAAGCAACCCACTGGTACCCTTTGTGGCTTTAGTTTAGTGCATCATATATGGGATTTGCACCCTTATAAATGAAGCAGAGATGGCATTCAAAGAACTGTTATAGGAGAGCAATCTGTTGTTAGACTAAAATAATGATCTATTACTGATCTTCTTACTGAGGAACAACTTTGGAAGCTGGCAGTTGATGGTTTCTCTTTTTTAGATCATCTTGTTTCCTTTCCTCCACTTTTAGAAAGCAGCTCAGATGCCCTTTTATTTTCCTTATAATGGCGTAGTGTCATTCCAGGTCATTGTGGGGAAAATATTGTCTTCAAGGAATTAGCGGGTAAAGCATTGATCAGCCCAACTGCTAAAACATGAACAGCCCTCCTATTCTGCCTACATCAAGTAGTAGGAAGGAAAAGAGACATTAGAAGAAGGTCTTCTGGCAGCCAGAACTATAAAGAAAAGCCACTTCACAATTTGTTTAGAAGATTTTACTCCCTTTATGAAAGAGTCTTCTTGCAACATTTTCAGGGACAGGTAATTTATTCTCCAATACTCCTTAGCTAAATTTGCCCCCAAACTGGAACATCTAGCTCAGGGGTCTTCAAACTTGGCCCTTTTATGACTTCTGGACTTCAACTCCCAGAATTCCTCAGCCAGGCATGCTGCCATCAAGTCATAAAAGGGCCAAGTTTGAAGACCCCTGATCTAGCTAAACAGAGCCTGAAGGAAGCTTGATCACAATTGTCTGTGTTTTAAGAACCTATAATATCAATCATTAGATTATATAAAGGAGGCAGCTATGTTCGGGGGGGGGAGGGGATTGATACGTTTTTTAATTTATTTATTTATTTGTTTGTTTATTTGTTTACTTAGATTCCAAGCTTCTTAACCATCTATTTCCCTCAGAGAGGGGCTCTGGGTGGTGTAATCGATAAAGTTAAGAATTAAAAACAGAATATTTTTTTAAAAAATAAAAATATAAAACAACATTATAAAATTTCAAATGATGAAGAGTTCTGAGATGGGGAGGTTAGCACTTGTTAATACAGGTAGGCGGGGGAGGGGTATCTCCTGGGGCCAAGCAAACCCATGACTGTGTGAGCCACTGTGTCCCCCAAGCAGGCCTACCCACCCAGGCTTTGACCCCTTTGTGGAAAGTCAAGAGACTGGGGCTTTTCCTTATCTCTGAGAGAAAGATATTCCACAAAGCAGGGCCAGTGGCAGAACAAGTCCTCTTCATAGACCCGACTAGTGGAAATTCTTGATTATAGAATGCCTTCCCTTTATAATCATAAAGATTATTTGCAATTGAAGGCTAGAATAGCACAATGTTAAATATCAATATACATGGTAATTGGAATATAATATCCTAAAATGAAGATTCAGCCTAACTGTACTTAACCAATATCATTCATTTCACATTCCTCGTACTAAGGCCAGTGCCTACAACTTCAGAGGAATGGGATCAGTCTGGAAAAAAATGAATAAGCTGCATTGGGGTAGAGGGATTGCAGCTTGAATTAGAATAAGTGTCCTTTTTGCTGCCTTTCCCCATTGCAAGGAAGCAGAAACTGGAAAAGACCACAGCAATGCAATTGTACTGTAACAATGTGTCAAAAGAAGTATAGAGGGCAGTATTTAAACATTTCACTACCTTGGCAATTTTAAGATGAGTGGGCTTTAAGTCCCAGAATTCTTCAGCTAGCAGAAGAAGGAGAAGGAGAAGGAGAAGGAGAAGGAGAAGAAGAAGAAGAAGAAGAAGAAGAAGAAGAAGAAGAAGAAGAAGAAGAAGAAGAAGAAGAAGAAGAAGAAGAAGAAGAAGAAGAAGAAGAATAAGAAGAAGAAGAAGAAGAAGAAGAAGAAGAAGAAGAAGAAGAAGAAGAAGAAGAAGAAGAAGAAGAAGAAGAAGAAGAAGAAGAAGAAGAAGAAGAAGAAGAAGAAGAAGAAGAAGAAGAAGAAGAAGAAGAAGAAGAACTTTATTGTCACTTTGAATTTACACTGATTGGCATACATTAAAATGAAATTTCTGGGGAAATGCAGGCTGGGGAATTATGGGACTTGAAACCAACACATCTGAATGTTACCAAGGTTGAGAAACCTGGTTTAAATTGTTTAAGGACTTGTGTTTCCTTTT